TCAAAACTGAATCTTCGAAAATGATACATGCTCAATATGAGATTAATACCTTTTTTTTTTTTTTTTTGATTGTAGATACAATTAGTTCACAAATTCTTTAGACAAAATACTTACAGCCATTTTTCCTATAAATTGTTTTTCGCAATTGCAATACTTAAATTTTAAACAGAAGGAAGAAATTACGAACCGATGTAACTCTGTTATTACTACCGATATCCACTATTGACAATGATAACACTATTTATCTTAGAACGAAAATTTGACGCTCCGTATGAAGAATAAAAAATATTTGTTCGATTGAAATAAATTTTGCAACTTTAAACGACGTCATAGTGACAGATAATCATTTGAATGATGCATATGACAGATCGATGTATCAAAACGATCTTTCTATGAAACCATAAAATTCAAATTTTAGGTGCAATAATTTTTCTAATATTATTTTATATTTACAAAATGTTTGAAGATTTACATTTTTTTTTTCTTTTTTAGGTGTCACGCGTGTTCAAAGGCATTCAGTCAAGCCGCGAATTTAACTGCCCACGCAAGAACTCATTCCGGAGAAAAACCGTTTCGATGTCCAGTGTGTGATCGAAGATTTTCGCAAAGTAGTTCCGTAACCACACATATGAGAACGCATTCAGGAGAACGTCCGTATAGGTGGAGTTTATATCGTTATATGGATTATTTATTTACCCTAACATGTGCCACTTAAACCGATATATCGTTACTTGGAAGTATTTGCATCTTGTTACATGCAAGTATAAAACTTTTAATGGCACCACTTATTATACAAAATTACTTTTCTCCTTTTCTTTTAATTTATACGAATTACTTCCAGGTTAACGATTGCCAATATAATTATATTGAACAATATCATAATTACGTTTTGTAGTTCGATTTACCTTATAACCGGCAACCTCTTTTTTTTCCAGATGTCGATTCTGCAAAAAAGCATTCTCAGACAGCTCTACATTAACCAAACATCTTCGTATTCATTCTGGCGAGAAACCGTATCAATGTAAGCTGTGCTTGCTGAGGTTTAGCCAAAGCGGTAATCTCAATAGGCATATGAGAGTCCATGGCGGTTCTCTAACGTGACACAGCTCAATATCGATTATCGATAACAATCACGTTCTACCGCGATGTTGTCGGATACCTGTGATTCAACTTGGCTCGAGCTTACCGGCGAAAATGTAAAATAAAATAACTGCGACAGTTGATACTCTCATAGAGTTCTGCTTCCTGACTGACTCGAATTTGCAAAGCGTTCGTACGAACACCTGGTTATTTAAGGGCTTACATTTGGATATTTTTTTAAACGATACACAAGACAAGTAATAATCACAATATGTGTTATATTTGGCATTAGGAACTCATCAAGAATTCATTTTTATATATATGTATATATAATATATATTTCATATATAATATATATACATATATATCGTTATCATCATCACTACCATCATCATCATCATCATCGTCATCATCATCATCATCATCATCATTATTATTATTAATATTATTATTATCATCATCATCATCATCATCATCATCATCATCATCATCATTTCATCATCATCATCATTATCATCATCGTCACCATCTCCTGAATCGGAACATTAAATTGAAGGAAATAAAAAACGAAACGTGTCGGCACCGTTATAATTTTAGAAAGTATGCACTCGCGAAATTTCCTGATCGTTCGTTTATATGTTCACGAATTGTTTACAAATAGGTCAGGATAGGTTAACAGGGTATCGCAGATTTAGACCTACAGCATCCACCACAGCACCGTTGATTATTGTACAAATATTGTATTTATTATAATTATTATTAATTATAATATTAATGTTGCTGTTTTCACCATCTTCAATGTTCATTATGTGGCTTTTTCTTTGTCAGTTTGCTTCTTTTTGTAATTGTAAAATGAAGGTATTTTGGCGCCAGTTTCATCAAAAAAAGAAAAAAAAAAAGAACGACCTCTCTCTATATATAGTATATATATATTATATATAACTTATATAATATCGGTATATAATATATATATATAATATATATAATATTCGTACGAGAACAACTAATTAAAAACGAATGAACGAATATGTGAGTTTTTTTGTTTGTAATCCCACAGCATCAGGACCCACATATTTCACGTAGAAAGAGGGGGGAAAAAAGGAGGCTTCATGTTCGCTGGCTAGTTGGTAATTAAGTGCGTAGATATTGGTTCATGAATCCTCGCATTAATTTACCTCTCTTCACAATTAAAACTATATAAAAACAACTCTCTCTTCTTCATTTAGAGTAGTGTCTCCTATTCACTCGTCAAAATTCTCTCGCTCACTCTCTCGTTCTCTCTTTATATATATAATGATGTATTTATAAGTAATAATATTCTTGGAAAAAAAAAAAGAAAGAAAACGTATGTATAATGTTTCTACGTTATGTACCGGTACGACTTGTTGCAGGGACGAGCTGACCCTGGAATCTCTATATCGGAGACTTCTAAATAAGCATGCAGGCTTTCTGGACCATCTCGTCACGCGACAAACGTACCATGTGTAGCGTGTACGTAGCGTAACTCTATTTAAAACTGTATAATGTCATCTCTGTCACACTGTATGTGTCTCTGTGATGCTTTATGTTTTCATTTCTTCTTTCTCTCTCTCTCGCTCGCTCTCTCACTCCTACATCGTCTCATATTTATCGATCAAGTGTTGTTCGGTAATCTGATCTCTACAACAGTTGGAATGGTTTCTCATTCGCTTGTGAAAGCTTCGAAGCAAAAAGCTCGTGTAAAGTGCATATTTATCCCAGAAGCATCGATGAATAATACCAAACAACTCAGTCTATTTTTGTCTTCCGAACGACTTTAAATAATATAAAAAAAAGAAAAGAAAAAACATTTTTATCTGGCGTAATATACATATATATCGATCACTGAGAACTGAAGAATTAATCGTCTATACCTATATATATCACTTTTCTTCTCACAATTTGCACTCCTCTTGAAACACGGACACGCAGTGTGTTGGAGAGTTGAACGCTCTTTACAACTGCACGATAATTTCGAAATAACGTCTAAAATTAATGACCAACGCCATTACGATGATCCGCAATTATACACGACGACGATTAACCATCGTAATAAATTTTACTTTCTCTCCGACGAACAAAATGATACAAAAAGAAAACCGAATAGATATGTGTGTCTCTAAAATAGATCTTTCATATTCTTCATTTTTTCTCTTTTTTTTTTTATTTAGTTATTATCATCGCTTTTAATAATTTTTTTCTCAAAAAATTGTCCATTTTTCCTTTGTTTCATATTTTTTTTTTTTTTTTTTTTTTTTGTTTTTTTAATGATTCATCTTTCGATAATATATTCAAGTGTTCGTAACATCGCATTTTACTTTACTTAATACAATAATTAATCATATTATAATTATCAATTAATAAAACTTGTTTCTGTTCGTACTACCTTTCGCTCGTATATTCTTTCGTACTCTCTTTCTTCCGTTCACAATCTCACTCACTTAAAGACTGCTAACCAATAGGTATATTTCTTCTGAAACAATAAGTGGTTTTTTGTCCCTTTCGGAAAACACAAAAATACTCTGTATCAAAACGCCACTTATCGATGTTACCTATTATTATTATCATTATTTACGAATTTAAACACTTCTGATGAAGATGCTGCATTCAATTACGGAACGTTAAGGCATTCGTGAGTGTAACTTGAAAGAAGTACAAAAATAGATGCCACAAAAATCAAAGATGACACATTTTTTTCAGTTTATTGAAGCAATTCGTTTTACTATACACCCGCGCATACTGATCCTATCGTCACCAATAAATTTTTCAGGGTTAAATAGCATTCGTGAAAAGGTGGAAACAATGTTTTTTGCAAACAATCATCTACAAAAGTCATATCATATCCCATTCAAAAATATATCTTCCACTCACTATCATTCTTAATACACAATAAAAAAATAATATTTAACCCTAAAGTTTATACTTCTGTAACTTATAACAATCTCGCATCTATATATACACTTCGAATTTCATTACATAAAAATAAAAGAAAACTTACAACTGGCAGAATTAGAATAACAATCAAAATTTATAAAATTCCGTTTACCAAGAACCGTTTTCGTTCCTTCTCACGAATACCCTTTCCCCCCCTTTCGAAGTTTGTCAGTACATTTTTCTTTCTTTTACCGATCGGTGCGTGAAGACAAACAAACCTTACTTTAATCATACATGAATATCGTAAGGCAATTGAAATGCGTCTACTTGCATCGATAATCGACATTTAAAAATACGAGTAAACCAGGCATTCAGTTTGACGAAGTTCTACTCAGTACTATCAACAACATAGTGATGTACCATACGCTTGAGAATGCCCCAACGATTACATACTTCTTTACAGTTTTCTTCGTTACCTTTATCCACTTTTACCACAGATAAGATATACTACTGACTTCTTATTCTTTTTTTCTTTTATCACGGATTCATTTACGCAGCATTTTCATGATCTTTGAGTAAAACATAAAAATGTATTTGTGAGCAACTACATTTTTCATTTTAATATAATATACTAACACTGAGAGTTACAACGTCCACGAAAGAAATAAAGTTTGTAAAAATTATTCAAGTTGCCAAATTATATATTTATATATATGCTCTCGGGAGTATGGTTCTTTTTTAGAAACAAAAACTAAAGAGCATGCGCGAACCCAAATACAGTGTGGCAAAATAATGGATGACTTCGCTAAAAACATGTTCCACATTTTAAACGAAAGAATACGATGAATTAAAACATATATAATATTTATATATATACACATACACACACGCGCGCGCGCGCACACACACACACATGTATGCATGTATGTATACATATACATATATACATGTGTGTGTGTGTGAGTGAGTGTATATATGTATATATATATATATAATACATATATATATATATATATCGAACAGGGAGGTTTTCCTTTTATTTATAGTATTAGATGTTTATGGAATACTAAACTATTATGTAGCGCAAAAATTACAAATGGAACTAATGCAAGTACAAAATAAAAAATTCTGGAACAGTTTATTCCCTACGTCTCGTTAAACCTATTTAACTGGAAGAGAAATATCATTGATAAAACTTATACAGGATATTTAGGCTAAACTCGTATTAACATGCTTTTCAACTATGTGCCAGATGTTGCAATGTTCACCCATGTTTGATTTGTACTCTATGACTAGCCAATGTACTTCTCGATGCTGCAGGTATCATTATAAAAGGAAGAACTGATCATGGGCTCGAGGAACTAATTACCAATCTTTACCGATCAAAGTTTAATTAAACCCTGATAAAAAATCAAAATAAAATAAAATATAAAAAAAAGAACAAATCAATGAAAATTCACTTTCCTCATCTTTTTCTCTTTCTTTTTTATCTTCGTTTGCGTTGTCTAAAGTCACGTGCGGTTAAGTATGAAGTGAATTATACAAAATTACGACATAGAGAATTCTTACCCACCGTTTGTTATTTCCTCCTTTAGCCACGACATCTTATAAGCCGTCATCATTACTGCCCAACTGTATTTGGTTTGGTCACAATGTTACATCAAATGCACTATTCCAGGAGTCCACCAAACGCAGACTCAAGCTCACCATACATGCGCGCGTCATTCATACAGGGCATACATACTGTACGCTGATACGTGCGTAAAACACGTGTACACTCCGAAGAACACACGTTTTTAACGCACGCACATCAGCAACTCGAGCAAGGCAAACCTTACTCTTTCTATTCTTCTCACTCACTCTCTCCCTTACGATCTCTTTCTCTCTATCTTGCTCTCTCTCTCTCTCTCTCTCTCTCTTTCTCTCTCGCTCTCTCGCTCTTTCTTCCCGCCTACCCCCCGTTTTCTCATTTCACTCTTTCTCAAGGATGGATTCCCTCGAGTTCCTCGGAAGCAGCGGACAGATTTTTGGGGCACATCGTGCACAACACACGTTAGTCAATCGGCCATTTGTCGTCGGAGGTCGTGTGTGAATGGCTAAGGGAAATTAGATCGGAGGGTGGTGCTGGAGTGGACGTCGGGGGTTCAAGGTCAACGAGGGCTCGGTGCAGGTGGGCTTGGCCGGGGGTCAGGCTCGCTCACTATGCTGTGTGGTATACCGGTTAATCCAGCAGTAGGAGGAGCTGAAGTAGGGCCTCCAGCCCCACCGCCGCCTACCGTTGGACCCGTGGGGCCTGTAGGACCCCCGGCGCCTGCACCGCCTGCAGAGGAGTTTGGTCCGCCACCACCCCCACCACCACCGCCGCCGACGACGGAATGTCCACCAGGAGGTGGGGGTGCAGAATCGTGAGGAGTCGTTGAATGCGCCTGTTGAACGGGCAGCCCCCCGGAATAGTATCCGCCGTTGATCCCCTCAGGGTAGCTGCTGGAGAAAGCGAAAAGAAATTGGCCACTTCGATAAATGCCTTTTACAAAGTGCCCAATCGATCTTAGGAAATCCAAAGGTTCGAACGCTTCTAACCACGTTACTTTACACACTCGATTCTCTTTCCATGTAATACGAGTTAACATCTGCTTGAAAATCTGTTTCTGTAAAAATTACGATATCTTTTTCCCCGGTGTAAGAGAAACAAATGCAACGTTACTAAAAAAAGTAATACCCTACGCTGATTTCTTTTTTATTAATTATTTCTTTTTTTTTTATTTTTTTTTTAATTTAAAATTTTTTTTTTGCTTTAAATTAAGCTGACTCTCTTTATTTAACATACGAACGAAGCTTACCCGGTCGAGGAAAGGAAGTATTCCTTGTTCACACAGTTTCGTAAGCAGTCAGGTATGCGACCAATGATAGCTCTCCGTATTTCACTGGCTGCCATCTCACGAAGTTCGGTGCAGCTTGCGTCGCTGTAGAATGCTGCGTGTGGCGTACACAACAGATTGGGTGCATCTTTCAAAGGGCCTGTAGAACATACAGAAATACGCTGTATTACCATTCCTTCAATACTTATAAAATGAAAAAATTGTCCTGTGCATCGTTTCTAATAAGCAAATTCAATATCAGCAAAAGCAAATCTGTTAATATATGCAATGATTACATGATAATATGATTCATTACTGAATTCATTAATGTTAAACGTACTATGACACTATACTCATGAATCATTAAGAAACTGTCATTAAATTACCATTTCTGAGAAGTGGATTATAGGATTGTTTTAAAAAGAATTCTTTTTTCTAAATATCTTAAAATGTAGAGTAACATTTGATGATATTATCACGATTAATTTAATAATTGTATCAAACTTTTTTCTATTATATAATTGTATTTCTGAATACTTATTTCATATTATGATAACTAGTTTTGTTTCTTTTCATGTTAAGTATGCAGTGAAACCAATATCTAGTTCCTTTGATACCAAATCATATTAAGCGTTACTTTTTTTTAATTTAAAAATTATTAATATTTATAATATGTATAATATAAAACCAATATTTGATAATACTATTCAAACATACAAAAGTTTGACATTTTATGTATATTTCAAACAGAATGTTAGACCATTATTTTTAGTGCTAAGCATTACCTCTGTTGCATGAGTTTACATTATCCAATTGTGAAGAAGGACCAGGATGATGAAGGAAAACATTAGTTACGTGAGAGGGGGTTAGGTATGGATAGATAAAACTCACACTGCGAGGACTGACCCTGAAAAACGTTGTATGGCTCATTTTCGTGTACATCAAGTGCTGCTGCACGAATTCTGCCTTGTTTCAACGCTGCGGCTAATGCGTCATCATCAACCAGACCACCCCTTGCTGTATTGACTAAAAAGGCGCCAGGTCTCATCTACAACATCAAACGTAAATGTGGATGACATATACGAAATATATATTATTTCTCACGCATTATAAAAGTAAAAAAAATTCATAAAAAATTTTAAAACCAATGTGTAACTCTAAAAACATTGCAGATAATTTTACTCTCTGACAAGGTTTGCTATCAGTATCATTGTACACCGTATGCTTAGTAAACAGTGAATTAATACAGAAAAAATTGGTTTAAAAGAAACTTTTTGAATTTAAATTATAATACCTGTTTGATGGTGAATTCATTAATTAGGTGATGATTGTGCTCGTTCAAGGTACAATGCAAGGATACACAGTCTGACTGGAATAGCAAATCCTGTAATAAACCATAACAAAATGTTTTATAAATTGTAAGTGAAATATCTACAATATTATCTTAAAAAAGAAAAACCGATATCAAACCTGTAATGTGTAGACCCTGTTAAGACCAAGAGATTTTTCAATTCCATCTGGTAGGTAGGGATCATAAAAGATGACAGTGAAGCCAAAGGCTTTGGCACGCAGGGCAACTGCAGAACCAATCCTACCTAACCCAACTATACCAAGTGTATCGCCCCGTATCCTTGCACATCCTGTTGCAGCTTCCCTGACCTAAAGAACATAAAATATTAGATTAAGCCCAATTGGATTTTGAAGACAACAAAAACTGAACTATGTGTATCTTAAAACTCTTACCTGTTCTGGACCTGTGAATTTTTTTCCTTCACGTACCATGTTTGCCAACCAATATGTACGTCGATATAAATTTAGAATGAGACAAAGAGTAGTATCAGCTACTTCTTCAACACCATATCCAGGCACATTGCACACAGCGATGCCAAGTTCCCCTGCTGCTTTGACATCTATATTATCTACCCCAGATCCAATTCTTACAATGATCCGTAATGTTTTGAATTTTTCGAGATCTTCTTTTGTCAAAATTATAGTGTGCCACATTAATGCACCTACTGCTTCATTTAATACCTACAGAAAAATTATAACTGCATCTTGGTGAAATGTTATAAACACCAAAGGATGGCTGGTTTTAATCTATATCAGTTTTGATAATATAGATAATATTTTGAATAATTCACCTTTTCATGAATTTCTGATGTAGACTGTGCATCACAGAAGGCCACTGTTGCGACATCTTTGAGAATAGGCATTTCAATAGAGCAGTCTCGACCATCTAACAAAGCCACTAATGGTCGTGTCTGAATGGGTCCATTTGCAATAGGACCCCTCAGGTTATCAATTCGAGGGCGTTTGGGCATCATCTTCCGTTTGTCCATCGGTCAAACAGCCCCCCCAATTTTTATGTTTTTCACTTGTACTTTCAGTGTCACTAAGAATGTCTGCTTTCTTCCAAGGAAGTCCTATAGTCCACTGACAAGGAAGCCTCTGAGTATGTCTTAAAATACAATTTTGCACTTTTATGCTTCGTCACACAAATTGCTTCTGTAACACTGATTTCTGGTCGGTTTTTGGACAAGGACCGCCGAACCTCCAACGCATCACGGCTTGTTGAACACTGTCTCCTGCAAAATTAAAACAATAATCTTTTAAGTCATAAATCACTTAAACTCATAACTATATAGAGAATATGATAATAGTTTTTATCAATATTATTACAATAAAATTGTAAATACCATTAATTTTATTAAATAATATTAATGAATAATAAAATTATCTTATTATGCTAATCAACTATTTATATTTTATTATTAATGTAAACAAAACTGAATTTAATGTATAATATATTTCATAATAATTGATAAATATGTAAATTATAAATAATGAAAAAACAATATAAGCTGGAATTTGCCTAAACAATTTATTCTAATTTCTCTTATACTTTCACTATTCAAATACTGTAAAAACGAAAATGCAATACGCATAAAGCACAAGCTTCGGTCAATAAACATACATTTCGACGCCTTCATGAATTTCTTCGTAGAAAAGAAATCCATGTGATACGTATGGTTGCAAATACTTCACTCACAAATACAGTATTGTGTTATGAAAAATGTAACAAGATATCGGTACTCAGTTGAGTGACAAAATTTTGTATTATTTTATACTACGGAAAGCGAAACACTTAACAGCGTGTACGAAACCGAATGTTTTAGGTTACCTTGAAACGCGCCGGCTTAACCTGCGCAGTGCGTGTGTTCAGTACAGTGATAGAAGCGCTTGGAAAATATAAGAAGTCTCAAGAATATAATGTCGGTGTTATGTCAAACAAAAATGTGTATAAACTTTCTACACTTTGGAGTGAAACAGCGGTAAAAAGATTGCACAGAACACACCATGTATCGAGAACGAAATTACTAGCTGGGGCAAATGTTTTTGGAACTGTTAATAGAACGCCTGGCTTTGGTTAGTGGGTCGACGTTTTCAGCCCATTTTCGGCAGCAATTGTAAACCAATCATGGTGCATTTGCACGCTTAATGTCCGATTAACTGCTTAGTAACTCATAAATTCCAGTTTTTAGAGCTCTAGTGTGTACTAAAATGATCAATGCGCAAGAAACTATACGAAAACAGAAAATATGTTCGATCAGAGTCGATTTAGTACCCGGTGCTTTTATATGGCGGAACGGAAAAATGCTGAACCAACGAAGTTCCATAAGAAAGTAGAGAAACTGACACGTGGCGCCCTCGTCAGACGCCGTCACCACACGACACTTAACCAAGATCATCAAAAATAAATCAAACTTTTAAGAAAGTACTTCAATATGGTATTCGTGACAATTGATATAACCTAAAAGACTATTGTTTCTGTAGTATAGAATATGCATTAACGAAGCATCGTTGAAACAACTTTCTCTCTTCAAAAATGAGAAATTTCACAATTTTATATCAAATTACCGTCAATTACACATCTATATATTATACTTTAAAATTAATTTTTTGTTAGACTCTGGTAAAAATCGACTTAAATAGAAATCAATAACCTTAAATCCTTCTATTTGTTATGTCAACGATTTTTGCCATTCAGTTCTTTCATTGGCACTCACAACGACACAGATTGAGATCTCGTTCGTTACGACTACTCACAGAGATTTCATCAGAGAGCATATAGTAGTTGGACCACCGAAGCGGGAACATTCCATGTGGTAAGGTTAATATAAGATAAATGATACACATTAAGAATGTTTGATCTGTCGGTCAATACACACAAGCAATCGGAAACAGTCCGCAGAGAAGGCTACAAAATGAGATCGCTGCTAGCCTCAGCGAAAGCGAGGATGCGATACTAACGTAGAGTGCAAACCCAAGCACTTTGACTTGGGCACATGTTGTGCCAACTCAGCGAAAATGCAAGCTCATATCATCAAAAGGAGGAGAGGCAAGGAAGCGAGATTAAGCCCTTGTTCGACAGCTGGCAGCGTATATCATACGTAATACACGTACGGTTAGTAGCAGGGAGTGCAATGTGGTGAGGAAGTACGCTCAGAAGGAACTTTTATATTTATTGTACACTTCGACACGTACAAGTAACTACACGAATATGTGTTGTTAATGGTACCGTATTAATTATATTAATACAGTTTACACTTTATTTACAATGTACATTTAAAGATCCGGTATTACAACCTATGCATTATTTTCAGAACTATTAATTCGTAAAACTATGTTTCTGTAAAATATCAATTATATTAAATTTATTTACAATTGAAATCTATCTTTAAAAGATCAGCCATCATTCTGTGTATAAAGCATTAATGTTTACAACCTATAAGGTTAACTCGCCAATGTTTCTTAAACCAGCAAAAGCTTCCCAGAAGTTATCAAAAGATGTTCTGAAACGAGTTAAAAATTCATCGAGCTTTTAAAACGAACGTTTCGACTAAGCGGTCGAATTCAACCCTTTAGCTTAATCTCAGTGTGCAACAGAGTTTTTCGAGTTACAGATACAACGATGGAGGGTGGTGGTGAGGAAGACAGGGGAGAGATGAAGAAGGGGAAGGGGAAAGCAGAGCAAGGGTGGGGCGACGAAGCTGCCGGTGGGATGGGGAGCTATGAGGGCGAAGTTATCCAATTATTGTCTAACCTGGGAGCAACTTTACTTGGCGGAGAACCGTTGGTGGGAGGGAAGCTCGTCCTGCCAGCTCTCTCTCCCTTCCTACAATCGAGCCACGATAAAGTAAAGTTTGTTTCAAAACTTGCCGCGCGGAGAGGTGACTAGGTTTTTGTTAGTGACACGTGAAATTCAAACGACTTCATTGCGATAATAATCGCGGCAAGTTTTTTATATCGACCGATAGTGAGAGGGGATTCAGATTGGTGAAGGATCTCATAAATTAAGTCGAAGGTTCATTAATAACACGGACGCTATGAGACCGTTTCAGCGCGAACATTCAAGATCACACCTTCTGAATATACGATTAGTTAAAAGAAGAAATAATTACTAATTAAAAATTCGATATAAATTGCATCATACTTTGACCTTAGACTTTTGTTATTATTATTATTATATTAAATATGTAAATATTTTGATTTGGTTTAAGACGTAACATATAATATTCTAATAGAGCAATATAACAAATAATTATACTAATTAATATCCGTAAGAGGTTAATTAAATCGAGTCATTTTCAAACAACAAAACTTCCATTATTTAAAATACAGTATTAGGAATGCTCACTGATAATGAGCTAGAAATAAACAAGCCTATTAGGAAAGTGCACTAGCGATAACATTAGCTATAATGACGCATATGCCATCGTGGAAACCTTTTTAAAGCCATGTATTGTTAACACCAATAGATATGTATTCTAGGTCAATTTTAGACACAAATTATACCATTTTTTTAATTGAGGTTACACAGCTCGAAACGATATTTCAACTTCTCTCATGTTTTTGAATTCAGCAAGCGTACTAAACGTAGTTATTCAAATGTAAATTTATGTACATAATTTATGAACATTTTTTACAAAGAATCGTGCGATACAACTGTCGAAAAATTTGCTCGTTTAAATAAGCTTTTCCTATACATCCAAATTGCATTTAATTTATCATAAATCGAAACCAATCGTCACCATTTTGCAAAGAATAAATTTCCCGTAAAACGCATTAATCGACAAATACGAACACAATCGAAGCGAAAAACGTAAACACAAATTATGAAATAAGACTGGAAAACAGGAACTCGTTCAATCACGATGATAAAAATCGGCACGCTCTCGTCGGCGCGCCATCTGCGAGCCATTGAACAACGGGACAACACGAACTCTGTAGAAACGAAAATCCGTTGTTTACCGCGAAACAAACAACGACAACACACGCTTAAATAAATGCTCGGCGTTTGAAAGGAGAGCAGGAGTTTGTCCTAAGTTGCAAATGAAAAAAAAAAAAAAAAAAAAAAAAAAAAAAAAAAAAAAAAAAAAGATGAAAACACACAGCACACACACAAAAAAAAGACAAACAAACAAAAAAGAAACAGTAAAAAATCTGTCGAGCACTAGAATGGAGAAAGGAGCAGAAGAAACTTGTCCAATTATGATGACGAGTATCGGTGTCGGCGTTCGAGCATTCTCATCCTTGGGCACAACGGAATGGTCGGAAAAGGGGTAAAGAGAGGGGCTGTTGCTCTGGTACCTTCCGCCTCCGCGTTCGTCTCTCCAGCGGCCAACGAGCGAACGGCCATGAGTATAGGAAGGGAGACTGGGGGAAGGAAGAAGGAGGAGAGGAGAGGCGACTACTTAAAGTTGGCGGAAAGTTTGGTTCGGCAGCAAAGTTAACTCAGTTAAGTTCTCCGCTCCTAAAGCGAAACTTCGGTTCTCCAACGCCTGCCCTGCCAGCCTGCCTGCCTGCCTTGCCTGCTTGCCTGCTTGCTTGCTTCCCTGCCTCTGCCTGGCTTGCCCTCCATCCTCTCTTCACCCTTTCCCATCCTGCCTTCTCCCTTTCTCTTTCTCCCTTCGTTTCGCGCCCGTGCTTCCTACTGTCTTGGCTATCCTTCCTTCCTCCTATATCCATTCCTTCGGTACTGCACGAATAAGCAATGTGTTTTGGAATTATCACTTTTCCGCAAACTTTCGCCACGATGTTTCGCCGTGGCGATCGATTGGCATCGACCCGCGCGCGACCGGTGTCACTCTCGTTTGCTTGCCGTGCTACTACTCTCTCTCAGTGCACCGGTCGCGTCAATTTGCCGCCTAACCAGGGCTGGGCCAAGCATTTTGCAGCTGGAACATTTTCAAGTACGTACACGCGGATGCGGGTACGAGGACAAGACGACTTTCTTTTTCTTCTTCTTTATTTTGCTTTGAGATATATATTCTCCAGAATGTAAAAAAGTGATTGGAAAAAAGTGACCCTAAAAATGGTTTAAATAAATTATCGACTCCTTATGAAAGTGTTACTGACGTTTGTAACGGTAGTAATAGACGCTTTAAAAATCTTGCTACACTATAATTTATTTCGTATCGTATTTTTTTTCTTTTTTAGAAATTTTCGAATTTTGAGGGAAACAGAATTTTTTTTTCTCGTTAAGAATACATTACGACTATAGCTCGTGTGGAGTTTTTCGTAC